TCGGAACCTCCGACACTGCCTCTGAATGAGGAAGAACTAAAAAATCTACTGGTCGATGAAGTTAAAAAGTGCAAAATCACCAAAGAGGAGATGATCGTCATTAAGGACATGGAACACCGAAAGGACAACGCCACTGCCAAGTCGTTTTCGCCATCAAGAGAGCTGCTCGAGATGATTCAACACGAAAATGGGTGTGTTCGAGTTAATTTAATTTCTTTTATTGACTGACAAAATTGTAGGAGTACACCTTGAGATTGTCTGGGTACGTACGACTGCGAAGGAATTAACTGGCAGCACTTTTCTTCTTAGGACCCGCTTTACAAGATCCGGATAAATTTTCTGTAATCGAGCATTCTTGTGTTACCCCTGCCTTCTAGCAATCGAATATGGTGGCAGGAGTATTCATCGGACGTTGTTTCCGTCACTCTGGGAGGAGGGTCGCCACGTTCCACCGTGGGCGTACTTTTTCAGCGAAATTTTCATCCTCGGTAGCTTTCCTTGAATCTATTTCTTCCACTCCTAGTCTTTTTTAAGAGTGTGTATGAGGAGGAAAGAGTGTTTGTGTGGGTACAGAAGGCGGAGTTCGTTTCCCTCCACTTCCCCTCTTCACACTTGGTCCTTTCAGGCGTTCTAGAGGAGGGGTTAGGGCTTAGATGGTACAGAGGGTTCTCTCCACGACGTACGACCCTAAACTCTCCACTGGGGCTTGGTCCCAGAATCCAGGGGTGAGCTCTATGACCCCCATCAATGGCCACGTAGAGGTCGTTGATAGGGGTTATTGTTCAATAAACATTAACTATGGCTATTGATCTGCAAACCTGCAAGGCATGTATTCCATGGACTTTTGGACTCCTGAACCTGCTTGGGGTTTATTTTTGCAATTTTTTCAACCGTCGTTCGTGATAAGATCTAATCAGTCAGATCTCATGTCAATCAAATGCCATTTAATCGATGGTTTTGCTTCAGAATTCGCTCTCCTCCTCCGATTCCTCCGCCAAAACCACAGACGCCGTCCCATAGTCGTCCTCAATCGCCGGTGGTCAAGGTGAATTGCTTGTTTCTTATATGATTTCTGAGNTGATTTGATTGGGTCAATCGTGATGTTTCATATGAGCTGTCCTTCAAATAATCACTAATTCCTCGAAATTCACCCAGCTACGTGTTTAGTTTCTATTTTTTATGACTGTGATATCGAAAATTCATTATTTATATTCACCTGCCTACTCAGTGAAGCATATCTTACCTGCTATTAAAAATTGCCAGCTCAAAGTTTTTGAGTAGTTCGTAAAGTAGTTCATGTGTTATAAGAGAATGAAAATTTCTGGGCCCTAATTACATTGTGGAGGTGGGCTCATGAGGGGACTGAATTTGGAGGATTTTTTACATCTGCAATTTGAATTTCAGTATTTCATGCGTCTGAACTTATTTTTCGGTGCTGCTAACCTCAAGATAGAGCTGTCTTTTCTAAAAAGTTACGGGGATCTCCGAAGAGCGATTACTAATTTGAAGTAAACAGCCTCCTTACTTTTTTTCAACTAGTTCCATTCCCCTATTATGAGCCTTTTATGTGAGATTCTACTTGTATTATGGGAAACTAGTAAAGCTGTAGGTGTGGAACATTCCGTTGCCTCTGCCGGGAGTCATGAATTTGCTCCGATAATGGGGTGCGAAGGACAAATGGTCAGACCCGTTAGTCGCTCATCCTTCACTCCATCTCGCTACTGACTCAGGAATTAGTCATTCAAACGTTTCTGAATTTCGTTTCAGAACTCCTTTACTCAATGGGATGTGAAGTCATTCCGTTCATTCTGTTCTCTTCTGCTTATTTACTTTTTTTTGAGACCCCTCTTTCACAAAATCCCCTCTGTTACTTTTTTTTTGGATTACCAGTTTCTTATAAGATTATAGGACCTTATTCCATGCAATAAGCCGTCCTTTAAAGCTGATATATTTCTCGTAATGGAAGATAGAGATTGAGAGTTACCGGTCGGCTATTTTCTTCAAGAGCAATCCACTTTGCAAACCTGAATTTAACTCCGACCATAACTATACATTATACAATTGCACCGTCCTATAGCGAGGATAACTAACTCTTGGATGGCATACTAGTCAATTTTTGAATCATAAAATCGAATCATAAAATTTTATCGAAAAATTTTACACCTCAAAAAAATGGTATTCTTATGAAACGGCTTGATATAATGTAATCATGCTCTTACCCGGTCCTTGATCCCAGGAAAACTGGATAGCAGGAAAGTATTTGTGAATGTTTGGGAAGCCCGCTGTGATTTGATAGTCAGACATACCTGAAAGAATGGTCCGATAGTGAAGCTGAGCATGAGGGATTGGAGGGAATTAAAAGAACTTATGGGGCTTCCCTGCCGACTTAATAAAGGAGGTGGGACGTGATGTGCTGAGATATCCGCTATGTAGTCTAAACTTGGCTGCAAGCGTTTTTTTGTATGTTTGGACCTTTGGAAAAGCATTACGAGGAAGAGAATTTGCAAAGATATCATTACTGCGATGTAAAACTGGTTGCAGATGAAATCGAAGCGCATTCCTGCCAAGAGAAACAAAAAAAAAGCCGTGAAAGTTGTAAGAAAGAAAGGCAGTTGCATGAAAGGCGTTCGCGGTAATTTTGGGCCATTTATAACAGCTTAGAATGAATAACGGAAGTGATAGTTTAAGATAGTGCAAAAGTGGCGAAACAAGCGCGAAAATCTATGTGCTCAGTGAAATAGAGGGCTTCAAGAAACTAGTAAAAATATGGTTTGGACGAGAATGTGACGACAGTAGTTGCATGGAAGAGGTATTTGGACGAGCTGTCCAAATGTACGTGACGTTGCGTATAGCTGGTGATAGTAAGCTGCCTGGCTGCAAAGTGTGCGTCCCGGTGCCATTGGTGCAACGTCTTCAGCCTCTATAACATCGAGAGAACTCGTCCGCCTTTGGGTGTGAATGTAGTCTAGGCCAATTTGGGGTCTTAACACGCCCTATCTAGGCCGTTTTTCGACCCCTCAGCAATCCTTGTATCTTCGGGAGTCACAGGTTCATTTCAGTAAGAAATTTCAGGATCTTTTTTCATCGTGAGCTTTTCCTTCAAGTTCTGGATAAATTACGTAGAAAGCCAAGCTACTTTCCAATAATCATGATCAGTAGAACTTTTCTCTTTTAAGGTCTTACTTTTTTTCTTTCTCACCTATTGCCGGAGTGCTTTTCAAAGGTGAACAGTCAAAAAAGTGGTCAATGCTTTCATTCTTAGCTTCTCCTGAGAGAAGGAAGTACAAAGTGGCTTCCCAATAGCCCTTGACCTCTGACTTGACTTGACTTAGTTGGTCACTTTTGATATTCTCGCTCTCTAGAAGCTTCTAGATATGACAGTGTTTTGTGAAAAGTTGAAATGGATGAAAAAAACGAAAAATTAGAAATTCAAAGTATCCAGGATGTTCTGCTTACTGATGGGAGGCGATCGGCAATTTTACTAACTGCTGATTCATTGTTGACGACAGAGCATTTCGATGAGATTCTCACGTATATCTTTTCTCGTCTAGCAACTTTACGACTCCTGAATCATCGCAGCCTGGTGTCCAGTTTCCAGTGAATTTCATCAAGAAATTGAGTCATTTCAAAAAATTCTTAGGTCAAAACGCATATTTGAAGGTATAGGAAATCTTCCAGCCTGGTGATTTTTCATTTTCAAATTTATCAACTAGTATTTTATTAATTTTTTCCAATGAAGTCATTCAATTATTGCAATTAACTTTGATTTGCCGTCTTCCCCCTCTCTCTCCCCTGCCGGTGCACTTGATTTGCCATTTCATTATTTATTATTTATTTAATTATTTCTTTCGAAAAAAACTTCAAGACGGAGAAAGGCTTTGCCTCAAACTTAAGCGATGCTATTTGCACCGCCTCAGTTCGAAGCATAGGCTTCTCTCTGACAGGGGAATCAGGGTTTCCGGGCAATCATCTAAATCACTCACTTCCTATTTTCCTATTTTTTAGGTAAAGAAAAGAAGAAAACCCAAAACAGTCTATCTCTGATTTTACTTACTAATTTTTTTCCTTTTTTGAGAACAGATCAATTATAATTATGTGAGTAGATTCAGGCTTTTTTGGGTTTTCATGCGAGAACTTTACGAAAATGTGACCCTCCTGCTCCTCAATCGCTGAGACCAGTGCTTCTTGTGGAAAAATGA